GATGTAAGAATAAGAGCATCAGCATCATGGAATTTTTCCCATTCAACAAGTCTTGAGTGCGTAAGCCGTACCGAAGAAGATGCGAGGTATCCCACCTATGATTGACAAATCAAAACTTCTCAGTGCAGTGAATATCGATGATTCTCGTCCACTTCAGTATTTGAATGATATAGATGAGAAATCATAAAAACGCGATTATTACTCATAGATATAATCAAAAACCAATGTAGAAAATGGTAATCGCCTTATCTGCAGGAGTCAATATATTCTCGAGATGTCTAACGGAATCAGAAATTGATGCAATGCGCTATCCGTATGAACTGCTGAATGCTACTAGATCGAAATGCACAACGCAAAGAAGGTGCGCAAGACTACAGTGGGAATTTTTCTTTCATTCATTCTGAATAAATTTATTCGACCGATTTAATTTTGGATTATTGGATAAGTACATTTTGAGTTTTTTTCTAACAGGAAAAAATCTAGGAAACGAGGTGTTTGGCGATATGATACATGTCATTTCGAAGTTGAACTCCCTCTACGCAATAGTTTATCTGGCTCGTCCCCAACTTCGGTTTTCTAGAGAGGACCGAAAAGAACTTAACGACAGCTAAATTTTTCTAGAATACGAGGACTCAAAATTCACATAACTGAGTGAGGTAATTAGCCATGATGACGGATATTTGATCATTTCTCCACATAGGATCTTACCGCAGGGTTGGAATCCTGCAGGGTTAAAACCAATGACTTACCCGAAAATTTCTTACAGTCAAATTCACCCACTCTAGTTTCAAAAAACCGAAATCAATGCTTGCTGTCCAAATGTTACATAGACCGCAAAACTTCTGGCCTCTTAGAATTTTTTTAGTTCGAAACAGTACTTACTTATCCGAGACCCAATGCAAAAAGGTCAGGTTCAGATTTCAATTATTTAAAAATTTCTCCAAGTCTATAATGCAATTGCACGCGAAGAAAAAGCAAAATCAGGTGAGTGCTTATTGTATTAAAGATCACTAACACGTTCGTATTCGGTTTTGAACATCCAATTTGAAGATCCTATCGAATATCCGCTCGGACATGCAGTGACCACAACATTCCCTTCTAGATTCTTAAACGTCTCTACAACAGAATAAATGCCAAACAACTGCTTTTGAAAGAAAATTTACTCACGACGGGCTGGTTGAAAGATATAGTTGTAATTCGAGATAAGGCACTCTCCATCGTTTTCTCTGAGTAAAATGATTTCCATTCCAAGGGATTACGTGTAGGCGCACTCGGGAAAGTACCAAAATGAAGTGCATTTATACAATTTTCGCTTTTTTGATTGACAAGAGATGAAAAAAGATACCAGTATAAAGATGGATCCTTCCATCTGTCATCTACATCATCACATACGATTCGTTCGTGGTAGCTTATGAGTTCTTGCATCATTAGCCTAAAAAAACAAAAAGGCATTATACGGACTTGTGCTCAACGGGTAGCACTAATAATTAACAAAACTAAAATTAATCAAAATGCATATGTATTACCGTCCAAACTGAACGACAGGTTCAGTAGAGTAGACAACTCCTTTGAACCCAGACTTTTCGGAATAAAATGGTAAAGCCACTAGGGATTGCCAATTCGAGACCAGTATGTAGTCAACTGAATTCATGCAAAGGGCTTCCAGCTGTAAAGATAACTATCAAATGAGAATTCTGAAGAAGATGGTATTAACAAAAACGATACCAAGATATCATTGCATTATCCTGATATGTAAAAGGACCAAAAACCCACTGGGACAGGGTGAGCTTCCGGAACACCTTCGACAAATATGTTATCATTTAGTTGTTTCAAATACGGAAGATTTTCACCATGAGAAAACGGCAAGTTCCTCAGGCGCGACCCAAAAAAGTTTGATAGAGGTTCAAAAAAAAAACATGCGTCTAAGATGCATCCTTTTGGGATACTCGAAGTATTAGTAGCAATAAAGAATTATAGAGGTCAAATACTAACCTTTCATCGTACACATAAGGAAGGAATATGTTGTAGGATGAGAAATCAATAGCGCAGTCGAGCAAAACTGTAGCATTTTGAAAACGAATAAGGATACAAGGTTTATGAGGATGCCAAGAGAGACTGGTCTGCAAAATAAAATTAAAGCTAGTATTGAACTTTCTGTTGGCCCCACTCAATTGCTAACATCCTTGATGAAAACAGAATGCGGTCTCATACAAAAAAAAACCAAACATTTAATTCAGAGAAGCTTACCAGCTGCATTTCCAACCGCAATCTCTATCAACGTAAGTTTTACTAGAACCGAGAGCTCGAAAGGCAGCTGATCAAAAACTCGTATGCAAAGTTACAATCCGCTACGAGAGACGCGCACTCGTATCTAAAGTTACAAACGGCTGCGAGAGGCGCGCCCCATGGACCAATGCGAATTGGCATTT